CCGGGTACTGCACCGTCATCCACCACCGAGTTTGGTCCAGCCGGCTCCAGCGGCAGCTGCTTGTTGTCCTTTTTTGTGGGAGCTCTACTTCATTGTGTGGCTCTGGAGTTTGTTCTTCTTCTCACAAGTAAGGGTACACACACCCACAGGCCTCGGTCTTGGTGTTCGAATCGAAGGCTCCTTCTGAAAGCGGGGCAGCAGCATCCTCCTGGGGCTGGTGTTGTCGTCGGAATATGAAACTATGAATCTTTTAGGGCGGGTCGTTTGGGGTTCTCACATGATGCCATATAGTATTCTTAGATTTGGCCCCCCTAGCTGCCCTATAGCTCTTTGTACACATGTTGATTATATATACATATATATAAAAACACATGCAGATATGTGTAACAAAATATGTTGTTGAACTATGCAATGCAAGATTCTTTGGGTCGTGGACCACCATGTACCCAGAGCTCCCAGGCTTGCGGCTTCACCGTCTCCAAACCGTAAAGGTGCTCAGGTGGAACCTTTGGGTGTGGTGGTGCAAGGTGTTGCGGCGGTGGGTACGGGGGCTGGGTCGGCATCGCTTTGGCTTTTGGTGGGAGTGCTGGTTCTGGGACATCTGGTGGGCTTTGGGATGGCGGTGGTGCCTGGCCCAGTGGAGGGGGGGTGGGCGGAGGGCCTTTCCAAGGCGGCTGTTCTGGTGGTGGTGCCCACTTGCCCCACGACTCGTCTTCCTTCGAAGCTTTCGAAGGGGCGGCTTCGCCAGCTCTGCCACCAGGTACTTGTTCGTCGCCATTTTCCCATGCCATTGCCCGTCGAGCGAAGCCCGGGCAAGCTGAGCGGCATCTGGCGAGTCCTTTGGTTTAGGGTTTGGGGGTTAGGGGTTTGGGGTTTATAGGGTTTAGGGTTTAGGGTTTATGTAGGGGTCGCAAGTAATTTTTTTCAAAACCAAGTTGCGAACTCTAAGAAGATCGAGCAGTGATCAGGCTTGCTCTGCTTCTTCTCCCAGTAACGCTCCCGCACCACTTGTATGTTCAGGCAATCCAGCACCCCAAGCTCCTCGCTCGCCGCCCTGATCGCCTCGGCTCTCTCTCATGTAACTACATATATGTATGCCTGTCTATATGTGTACCAACCTCACCCTTTGTATATATGTGTAGATATAAGCATATATAATTAGACACAAAAGAAAAGTAATGAGTGTCAGATTGTGGCAAATAGACGTGTATTGAGTTTATCTATATCTACATATTGTGTACATATAAAGTATATATGTTAAACCCTAAACCCTAAACCCAAAGCTACTTTTCTTTCGAGTGGCCCACTTCGTCGCACTGTACGTGACATTCTTCACGTAGACACGGTAGCAGTCGACAGTAGCCATGGCCGCGAAGCAAAACTTGCTATATATGTGTTAGAACACCCAAAGTGAACAGCCTTTATTCTTTGTGGATAAAAATGTGCCTAGAGCCTAGCCCCGGCGCCGAAAGCCTGACACCCGAAACTCGGTAATGGCTTTGGGTTGTATGCTTTAAAGGTCCAGAGCATCTATGCGAAGCTATCTACAATCCAAACCTTCTACAAATACTGTGAGAATAAGCCGCATCGGCACATGGTGGTGACATCGTGTCGAACACATCGTGTGTAGGAGATACTACGTCGCAAAACTAGAGTCTCTCCTGCTGTAAAGGAAACATCGACCACGGCCACAAGTTTCGGCTCCAACATCATCTCGCAAAAAAGCCTCGATAAACCTCTTCAGCCGGCATTCTCTGCACTCAAGCAATTCCAACTCGAAAGTGTTAGACATTGGAGAATGGTTTTTTGGGGGCTCACAAGGAATCCGGGCTGTCGGTTTGCGGTTTAAGTTTGGGGAGTCGGGTTTGGGGTTTCGGGTTTTGGGGTTTATATAGGGTTTATGGGTTTAGAATTAGTTTTGGGTTTTAGGGCTTAGTGAGGGTTGAGGGTTTTTGTGAAATACTGCTTTAAAGGCAAGACACACTCGCAGGTAGATCTCGCAAGTAACACAAAGCTCCCCAGCGCATGTAAAGCTGCACAAGGAAAATCTCGCAAGTAACACAAAGCTCCCCATCGCATGTAAAGGTGCACACAAGGAAAATCTCGCAAGTAATATACAAAGCTCCCCATCGCATGTAAAGGTGCACACAAGGAAAATCTCGCAAGTAATATACAAAGCTCCTCACATCGCATGTAAAAGGAAACACTCGCACAGGTAAAAAGCAGAACTCATCGCAAGTACATATACAAAAATCACCGTCGCAAGTAAACATGCTTTGAGGCTTTAGGCTATTGGTGGTTTCGGGGTTACAAAGGCTTATATATACAGTATATGATAGGGATCAAATACATATATCACACAGAACAGGAAGCACTCAACCTCACACACACACACAAATGCAAGAAACATTTTTTCTCGCAGTCATTGCCACTCTGCTGCCGGAAGGTTCACCCTTTTTGTGCTTCTCACTAAAAGGGCCAAAGATGCATTATGCTAAATGGCATTGTGGCAGATGTAGTGCTCTACATGTAAACGAAAGACATATAGAAACACACCGTGACTAGCACCCATGGGTTTTATCAGATTTGTGGGAAAACAAACCACGTTTATATACAACATATATATGCTTGAAACTCAGATTGTTATATAGTCTACAAAGTTCAGAAAACCCAGGGTGCACATCACATCCCGCACGGAACACATTTTGGTTTTCAAACCCCCAGCGACTTCATGACGTCCTTTCGCAGCTTGTAGAGCTCCAAGAGCGGGATGCCCTGCTCGACATAGGGAATCATCTTCTCGATCACCTCATGATGCTTCGGACAGCAACTGGAAATGATGCTCCTCAGCTTGCCGCCGTTATCGTAGTTGCGGATGTAGGATTTCTCAGAGTAGAACTCTACCTTGCAAGATCCGTACTTTTCGCCGGACAGCCATTTGTTAGACGGCGAAGTCGCCGCCGCCGGCTTCGGCTTCGCCGCCAGCTTCGCCACCTTCGTCTTCGCCGCCGACTTCGCCTTCGCTGTGGCTTTGGGCTTGGGGCTCTTCTCTTTCGGCTTGCCGGTGGCTTTGGGCTTCGAAGCACCCTTCTTTTGGCCACAGCCACAGACACCGGCGGCATGAAAGCCATGGCATTTTTGAGGATGTCCAAGTCGCACTCATCCGTGGAAGAGATCACTTCCACATCCTTGGCCGGCTCAGCCCCGGCACCAGTCTTGATCTTTGCCTTTCCTGCCTTTTTGTTCTTTGCCTTTGTGGCCTTCTTCTTCAGGGTGCCCTTCTTCATAACGCTCTTCTTCGGCTTGCTGCTCTTATGGATGTGCACAAACTTCTCCGCAAACTTCTTCGGCTCGCTGCTCTTCAAGGTGTCCGGAAACTTGGTCGGGCTGCTGTTCTTAAAGATTTCCGGCAACTCCGGGAACTCAACATCCTGCAAAGGAGTAAGCTTCTCGTCACCACGAAAAGGAACAGGCTTCTCATCCTCGTTCACGGGAACAAGGGCCGTGCTGGGGGAATCAAGAGGCTTCGGGGCAAACTCCTGCACCTGCACCCTTTCAAGGCAAAGGTCAAGCTTCCTGATTGTATGTTTGCACAGACTTAGATAAAAAAGTTTGCAACACTTTTCTTTCTTCCGTCACACGAATTATATATATACAGCGAAAAAACACGAAAGACATATGTGCAGCCACGGCACACTTGATCCTCGTGCTACAGGGACCTGTAGACTTTCCGCTTGAAGCTCTCCTTCTGCTTCATCGCACGGAGGTGGCTAAGAAGAAGACGGATGGCGGTGTCCATCTTGTCCACAAGGTCCTCTGCCTTGTAGTCTTTGTGGCCTTCGAGCTGCAGGTTCTTTTGCTCGTGAAGGATCCAAAAGCTTCGGGTAACCCGCTTCGACAACAACTTCGTGTTCGGGGCGAGGCGAAGAAGGTCAAACAGCAGCCCAGCTGTCTTTGCCAACCACGGACCGTGGACGGCAGTGTGCCAAGTGTAGCTTATTGGCCCGCCCGGAGGGGGGCACAGTAAAGGCCACAGGTCCTTCGTCTTCTTGAACTCGAGAAAGCCCAACACCCCCTTCGCCAGCTCCGTTGCTGTAATAAGCGGATCGGCAACCACTCGGTCCTTGGCATTTTTGCCCGTTGCAGCGGAAGCGCCCTCCGCCAGCTTGACCGAAGCTGCAGCTGCTAAGGAAGCCATGCTCGCAAGACTGTATATACTGTGTATGTATAGGATTTATGATTTCTCAAAAAAATGGAATGCATTTGTCTCTGTCTCCATCCAGCCTCGCACTTACCTCTGGGTCTCGTCTGTACCAAACACACAGCTGCAACGTCCGAAAATTTTTCTCACTCTCGGATCTCAGAAAAGTATATATATATATATAAGTAGATCTCTCGCATGTAACCTACAAGAGTCTCGCACAGGTAAAGGTGGACTCCTCGCAGGTATAAACTATATTGTGATGACTCTCGCAAATGTACATGTACCGATTTCTCGCATGTAAAAAGCACACATCGCAAGCAATCCGCCGGCTCGACCCAGCACAGAATAAAACCGAGCTGCGATTTCAACATGGAAAACCATGGCTTAACAAGTATGCTTGCAACACAATTCTCATAATTTTATCTTCACACCTGACCATGCCGCACTGTACAGTCGCAGGAAAATCTCATGCAATCAACAAGCAGAACCATGATAAAAGAAACAAAAACAACCAAAATTAGCTTGCATTTCACTTCTTCAAATTCGGGAATGTGTAACCTAAAAACATGTATTTTGCAGTGTAAAAAAATTTACATAGCAGTGTAAATTTTTTACTATACAAAGTAAATTAATTTACACTTTTTTTTTACGTAAATTTTTTCGTAAATTTGAAGTGTAAACCAAGCTTTGTTTAGTAAATTGCTCGCCACCTAAAATTAGGTAAACAGCAGGGTCAGGGCAATGCTCCCTGTGGTCTTCAAACATTTTTCCGCGCCTTCGGTTGGCTTTCAGCCCATCACGTAGCCATCACTTCGCGCTTATCCTCCGGCTCTGCGGAAGGCCCAGACGTCCAGGTTTCTGCTAGACTTGCGGAGTTTCGTGACGCTGCGAATGAAAGGAGCAGGTAATGGTTCGCACGTTTGTAACCCTGCCAGTCAACATCCACAGCATCGGTGGCGTTAACCTGACGCGGGTTTTCCTGCATTTGCAGATGACATAGACCGGCTTTCTGGGACCCAAAGCAAAGGCAGACCAAAGCGCTCTCCCGAAATCCGCCGCCTGGCACAGCGATTAAGTTTGAAAGGCTCGTGGTGCAGCTGGCGCACAGTTTTGCCGTGGCCGACCGCACGACTCTTTCGTTCCTCGACACCAGGTGATCAGACAGCGCTTTAGCTGCTGACTGCCGACAGGAGGCGGCGCTGCTCGAAAGGCAGCAACTCCCCCCAAGATTGCAAGCGCCTCCAATCTTCTACACTAAGCTCCGTCACATGCACGGCACCCAAAGCGTGGAGCTCGGCATCCATGTGCTGCATCTTCTCCGCGGGCAGGCGGGCTTGCACACATAGAGCTGCAAGTCCAGCCACACCCGCAGCTTCTGATGCTGGTTCCACGGCTCTGGGCGGCCCCACGACACGGACCACCTGCTCTGCATCGTGCTGCGCTGCCGCGTCGCGGATCCACGCGCACATGCACTGCTTGCAGGGCTGCGTGTCCTGGAGATGACGGACGGTGGCGGTGGCCGTGAAAACATGGACACGGCTCTGCATGTGGCGCACATCTTCCTGGGAGACGCTACCATATGGCACCCAGAGGCCCTCGGACTTGGCGGTCATAATGCATCCACGATGCCACTCAAAGTCCACATTGCCATCGTTGAAGGCCTGCGAGACTTGCACCTCGAGGGGCTGGCCCTGAAACAAGCTCAAAAACGCAGTGACTGGTAGAGTCTCCTGGGCGTATTCCACAGGTCTGTAGTCATCCCAGAACAAGAACCGCTTCTCTTTCAACAGATTGCGAAGCGCGAACTTGGAGTTCAATGCAGGCTTGTGGAAAACGTGCTTGAACCCGAAAAGATCATCAAAGGGAAGCAAGATGGTTGTCTTCCCAGAATTCGTGGGACCTGCAAGAAGCGGCACCCGTGTTGTCTTCGAAGGGCCTGAGCGAATGATCGCCCGCAGGGCCGTTGCCAGCTCCTGCTGCGACACACACGCTGCATTGGCCGAGAAGAACGCTTGCACGGCTGCGGCATAGGTGCAGCTCCCATCATGTGGGCAGGCTTCCTGCGCTGTACGGCAGACCAGATCCCAGTCCAGATCTTTTTCGGCCGCTGCCGCGGAGCGTGCCATTCCCCAGTCGGCGGCTTCTTGCAGAAAGTCCGCAAGCTTTCTCTGATGCGCGTGAACGAAGACCTGCATCTCGGCCGTGCCATGGTCTTGGGCATATGACAGCACGGCAGCCTTGGTCGTCAAGTTCTTCGCCAGCATGATGGAAGTCAAATCCAATTTGTTGAACTTCGGCCTTTTGGAGCTCTGTTGGCTTCCGCTGGCCGTTTTTGCGGACTCCTGTAAGTCCAAGGTTGAGCTAGGTCTCATTACGGAACATTATGCCAGAAACCTGCACGCAAAAACGCAAGGACTCCGATGCACAAGAACACTTTTCAGCCCAAACCAAAGGTCCTCGTGTCTACGCTTCCAGACTTCAGCCATCCATGGTCTCTGCGACTCGGCAAACAAGTCCAGCGCACCCCAACCGCCATCTTCTGACCAGGATACGGGGTTGGCATCCACCTCGGGCTTCTTGGCCGTGGGGATGTGTCCATATCGGACCGCGCTCCAGAAGCCAGTGTGCGAAGCGGAAAAGTGCGCAGCGAGGTGGTCTCGCTCACGCAGGGTGCGCTTTGCGGCAACGAAGCTACGCGATTGTCGCAGCAAGACCGCGACGTGGAAATGATGCATGCCGTCCGCATGCTCTTCTCGAAAAACGACGAGTTTGCGAACCAGCTGTGTAGCACCTGGAGGGCGGCCACGACCTGCAGCTACAGGCTCGTCAAAAGCCTTCCAAACGCAGCAAGCAAGGTCTTCGCGCGACATCGCTTCCAAATCTCGCAGATCGCGAAGCTCTGCCGTGCCCGGCAAGAGACGCGCAAATGTGAGAAAGTGGACTTGTGTCTTCTTAGATTCATCCTCGGAGCCGAGTATGTCCAGCATGGCTTCCATGCGCTGCTCGGGGCTTTGTTGCGCACGCGCCACACGGTTGTCCACGGCTTCGCGAATCCAGAGATTCACTTGGTCAGCGGCGGCTTCTAAGCCTTTGCGCCCGAAACCAAGATGGCGTGCGATTTGGCAGCGAAAGTCATAAACGCTCACCTGCTGCAGATCCACGCTGGGCAAAAGTTCGGCGATGGCACCTCGCACGCGCACCTCGGTTGTCTCGTCTAGCTCGACGGGTCCGTCGGGGTGTTGTTGAGGTTGCAGGACAGCTCGCTCACCGGGTTCTGCACTGCCATCTGCGTCTAGGTGTTGCTCCGGGCCATTTGCCAAGGGCTGGGGCTCACCGGATGCTTCGCTGCCATCAGCCATCGCCAAATTGCGCACACATGGTTCGGACAGCGTCACGAAACGCGGGTTTCGTTTGCATACCCTGGCTTCTGAAACAAGAAATGCTTCCACAAGCGCTCGCTTGCAGTGAACTCATGAGGTGCGCAGATCTTGCTTGCGACAGGTTGTGACTGATGCAGGCGTGGCTGCTGCCTCGGCATGCCTGCTGGGCATTGAGCACCTCGCGGCGCGGTTTTAGCCAGCTGGCCTGGGTGGCTTTGCAGGTGAAGGCGTGATAGTCGCCCTGCCCTGCCCTGCCCTGCCCGGCCCGGCGGGGCCCGGCCCTGCCCCGCCCCGCCCCACCCCGCCCTCCCCCGCCCCGCCCCGCCCCGCCCCGCCCCGCCCCGTCCCGCCCCGCGCCCCGCCCCGTCCCGCGCCGCCCCGCCCCGCCCCGCCCCGCCCTGCCCTGCCCTGCCCTGCCTAGTGCCTGAATAGTGCCCGAATAGTGCCCGAAATAGTGCCCGAAATAGTGCCCAAATGAACCCTTCATAGTGCCCAAATGATTTTTCTTGCGAAAAAAGACAGATTTTGTTTTCCTTTACAAGAGAAATTCATTTGGGCACTATGAGGGGTTCATTTGGGCACTATTTCGGGCACTATTTCGGGCACTATTCGGGCACTATTCGGGCACTATTCAGGCACTAGGCAGGGGCGGTGGAGGGAGGAGGCACGGCAGCTCGGACCCCCCCCTCCTCCCCCTAGCCTCCTCCTCTCCCCTCCGCTTGGCCCTTCCTCTCTTCTCGCCGCGCCCTTTCCCGAGACAGGTGATAAGGTGCTGAACCAACAGCAGGAACAGAGTGGTTTTCGTCCCACTAGACCGCAAACAGGCAAGCTGCTGTCACAGCAGCCCCAAGCCAGGAGCGGAGGGAACGTGGCAAACCCAAACCAAGCTGGACCCTCGGGAGGGCGGCTTACAAACCCGCTTGAATACATCGAAACTCCGTTTGAAGATCTGCGGGCGCTGGCCATTGTGGATGGCTTGGAGCATCGTGCTTGCATGACCTGAACAACGTCAAGCTCTCTCTGACGCCCCACACAAGTGTTTTAGTCCCTCCTTCTTTCGGTCACGCCTTCACTCACTCACTCAGTCAGTGACTCACTCAAAAGCAACATTCCCTACCCCTGCATTCGAAACTTCTTTGTCAAGCCTTTCGAACGCATCGTTCTTCCTTTCGCCTTCTTTTGGCTCAGACGTTCGCGGCGTTTACACAAAGTTTGCCAATGCGTAGACCACGACCCACAACCCGCGCATTCGCCTTGCACACGCCCCGGTTCCAAAGCCGCAGATTCAGTACCACAGCATTCGGAAAATTGTTGTTCAAGCCTTTCCGGCGTATTCTTTATGGTTTTTGGGTTTGTGCAACATATTTGCTGTGTTTCGAGCAAGTTTGTCAACGCACAGACTGGCACAGACTGCGATTCAAAACCCGCGCATTCCTTACAGCGGCATGCCCACAATTGCTTTTGAAGCCTTCGGCTGCTGCGTTTCTTCGGGTCTTTAACAACACTTTCACAGCAGTTTGGCATTGCATACGCCACGGTTCCAAACCCGCACATTCACTACCACTGCATTCGGAAAATGTTTTTCAACGTTTTCGGACGTTTCTTTCTTCGTTCTGTATGGGTTTGTGCAACTTATTGCGGCGTGTCGCGCAAGTGTGTCAACGCACAGACTGCGATTCAAAACCCACGCATTCCCTACAGCAGCAAATTGCCTTTGAAGCCTTCGGCTAGATTTTGCTTCGCTTCTTCTTGTCTTTAGCAACACTTTCACAGCAGGTTAGCATTGCATAGGCCGCGGTTCCAAACCCGCACATTCACTACCACTGCATTCGGAAAATGTTTTTCAACGTTTTCGGACGTTTCTTTCTTCGTTCTGTTTGGGTTTTTGCAACACTTTCGTTCCGTTTCGCTAAAATTGCCAACGCACAGACTACGATTTATAAACCGCGCATTCCTTGCAGCAACCTGCCGAAAAATTGCTTTTGAAGCCTTCGGCTAGATTTTGTTTCGCTTCCTCTTGTCTTTAGCAACACTTTCACAGCAGGTTAGCCTTGCATAGGCCGCGGTTCCAAACCCGCACATTCACTACCACTGCATTCGGAAAATGTTTTTCAACGTTTTCGGACGTTTCTTTCTTCGTTCTGTTTGGGTTTTTGCAACACTTTCGTGCCGTTTCGCTAAAATTGCCAACGCGCAGACTACGATTTAAAAACCGCGCATTCCTTGCAGCAACCTGCCGAAAAATTGCTTTTGAAGCCTTCGGCTAGATTTTGCTTCGCTTCTTCTTGTCTTTAGCAACACTTTCACAGCAGGTTAGCCTTGCATAGGCCACGGTTCCAAACCCGCACAGTCACTACCACTGCATTCGGAAAATGTTTTTCAACGTTTTCGGACGTTTCTTTCTTCGTTCTGTATGGGTTTTTGCAACACTTTCGTGCCGTTTCGAAAAAAATTTGCCAACGCACAGACTACGATTTAAAAACCGCGCATTTCTTGCAGAAACCTGCCGAAAAATTGCTTTTGAAGCCTTCGGCTAGATTTTGCTTCGCTTCTTCTTGTCTTTAGCAACACTTTCACAGCAGGTTAGCCTTGCATAGGCCGCGGTTCCAAACCCGCACAGTCACTACCACTGCATTCGGAAAATGTTTTTCCACGTTTTCGGACGTTTCTTTCTTCGTTCTGTCTGGGTTTTTGCAACACTTTCGTGCCGTTTCGAAAAAAATTTGCCAATGCACAGACCACGAGTCACGCAGTCACTCCATGACTCACTGACGCGCCCACCCACCCACCCACCCACCCACCCACCCACTCAGCCACCCAGCCACCCAGCCACGCAGCCACGCACGCACGCATTCGCAGATGCAGGCATACTCCCCTCTATATCTCTCTCTTCGTCTCTCTCACTCACCCACACACAATACGTTGAACTTCGCAGGTTGGATGCTCCAAACTCTGGTTCAACAGGCGACCAAGCGAACCTCTGCAAGCTACGAGAAGTGGGATGCCCTCCAAGCTCGATGGCGCAAGGCTCAAAAACATGAAACTCTGCATGCTGGGTAGTGAGACGTCCAAACTCTGGCTGATCGACCAAACGGCCAACTGTGCAAGCTGTCAAGTAGTGGCGATCTGAGGAACCAACCCTACGTCGTTCGCAGGCTGCTGGGTAGTTCGATGCCTCAAAAGCTTAAAAACGCTGTGCACGCGAACAAACATGAAACCCTGCAAGCTGCTGGACAGTTGGATGCTTTCTGAACTCTGGCGGCCAACCTACCAAACGTCAAAGTCTGCAGGCTGCATGCCCTCCGAGCACTCAGAGGCACTGAGACAGCTTCCAAACGTCGAACTTTGCAGGCTGCCAGGTACATGGATGCCTCCAGCCGCACGAAGCAGCTAACATTAAACTCTGCAGGCGGCTGGACAGTTGGATGCTCTCCAATTCTAGCTTCTACCAAACATGAAACTCTGCTGGACAGTTGGATGCTTTCTGAACTCTGGTGGCCAACCTACCAAACGTCAAAGTCTGCAGGCTGCATGCCCCCCGAGCACTGAGACACACTGAGACAGCTTCCAAACGTCGAACTTTGCAGGCTGCCAGGTAGATGGATGCCTCCAGCCGCACGAGGCAGCTAACATCAAACTCTACAGGCGGCTGGACAGTTGGATGCTCTCCAATTCTAGTTTCTACCAAACATGAAACTCTGCTGGACAGTTGGATGCTTTCTGAACTCTGGTGGCCAACCTACCAAACGTCAAAGTCTGCAGGCTGCATGCCCTCCGAGCGCTGAGACACACTGAGACGGCTTCCAAACGTCGACCTTTGCAGGCTGCCAGGTAGATGGATGCCTCCAGCCGCACGAGGCAGCTAACATCAAACTCTGCAGGCGGCTGGACAGTTGGATGCTCTCCAATTCTAGTTTCCACCAAACATGAAACTCTGCTGGACAGTTGGATGCTTTCTGAACTCTGGTGGCCAACCTACCAAACGTCAAAGTCTGCAGGCTGCATGCCCTCCGCGCGCTGAGACACACTGAGACGGCTTCCAAACGTCGAACTTTGCAGGCTGCCAGGTAGATGGATGCCTCCAGCCGCACGAGGCAGCTAACAGCAAACTCTACAGGCGGCTGGACAGTTGGATGCTCTCCAATTCTAGTTTCCACCAAACATGAAACTCTGCTGGACAGTTGGATGCTTTCTGAACTCTGGTGGCCAACCTACCAAACGTCAAAGTCTGCAGGCTGCATGCCCTCCGAGCGCTGAGACACACTGCGACGGCTTCCAAACGTCGAACTTTGCAGGCTGCCAGGTAGATGGATGCCTCCAGCCGCACGAGGCAGCTGACATCAAACTCTGCAGGCGGCTGGACAGTTGGATGCTCTACAATTCTAGTTTCTACCAAACATGAAACTCTGCTGGACAGTTGGATGCTTTCTGAACTCTGGTGGCCAACCTACCAAACGTCAAAGTCTGCAGGCTGCATGCCCTCCGAGCGCTGAGACACCCTGAGACGGCTTCCAAACGTCGAACTTTGCAGGCTGCCAGGTAGATGGATGCCTCCAGCCGCACGAGGCAGCTAACATCAAACTCTGCAGGCGGCTGGACAGTTGGATGCTCTCCAATTCTAGTTTCCACCAAACATGAAACTCTGCTGGACAGTTGGATGCTTTCTGAACTCTGGTGGCCAACCTACCAAACATCAAAGTCTGCAGGCTGCATGCCCTCCGAGCATTGAGACACACTGAGACGGCTTCCAAACGTCGAACTTTGCAGGCTGCCAGGTAGATGGATGCCTCCAGCCGCACGAGGCAGCTGAAATCAAACAATGCAGGCGGCTGGACAGTTGGATGCTGTCGAAAACTCTACTGAACAGTTGGATGCTTTCTGAAGTCTGGCCTGCCGCAGTGGCCATCAAAAGCTTCATGCGGATCTCAGGATCTGTTTCGCGTGTTCGTGTTTCGAGGTGTGCCAGGACGCGGATGGTCCCTGAGATTTCTGCAGCAGTTCCAAAACCCTTCTGAGCAGTCAGACATAAGCAAGCCACAGACCATGCCAACTATGGCGGTGAAATGCAGTGACAGTCTCGTGCCCTGGGACGCTTTCTGGCTGTGGCAGTCACAGTAGTGTGTTGCAGCTTGAAGAGTCGGGCGTGAAGCACACAACAGTGCACGCATCCCGTTCTAAACAAGCCAGAAGCTACTCTAAGTTACAAGACGCTCACCGCAGCAGACTTGCAGCCACAATACATGTCATTGCAGACTTGCGCGTTTGTGAGTACCCAGCAGGTCTGGTAGGTTGCAAAGAGTTCACGAGTGCAGCTCTGTGCTCTACTGTACGGCGCTGTGGCTCGCGGGGAAGGCTACAACACACAGGACGGCCTGCAAGCATCTTATTTGTACAGATATGTACACGGGCGTTCTGTACATTGGTGCGGCAAAGAATGGCAAAGACCACGCCCACCACGCCAGAGCAGAAACACTACCGCAGGACGGCCTGCAAGCATCTATCTGTACAGATCCTAAAACGAGCACTTCTCTACAGTGCTGCGGCAAAGACAACGCCCAGCACGCCAAGCGAGGAGCAGAAACACTGCTGCAGGACGGCCTGCAAGCATCCTATACAGATCTCCACACGGGCATTCTGTACATTGCTAGGGCAAGACAAAGCCCACGACAAGCTACAGAAACACCGCACGTTCACCCTCCCAGCCGCATTCTCACCACTTCGCTCAAATCTGCATCTGACAGGCGCCGCGCTTGCTTGAGCAGCCTCCGATTAACATGTATTGGTGCTTGTTAGGGGCAAAACTTCTTGCAGAGAAGGCGCCTTTGCTTCTTCTGCTTCGCGCTCTTCAATGCCCGAGTCGCCCTCTTCATGGATTCTTTCAGATCCTTTCTAGCCTGTTTCAGGCGGGCGAGCTGCGTGTCCAAGCTCTCCTGCCAGGTTTAACGCACAGACGCATTTTAGCAGCACCCTGCAGACTCCGCTGGGCTGTTTTTTCTACCGTGTGTCCGTGCCACAAAGTAGCCTCGCGGACTGGAACAAGTCTAGAGGACATGAAACAGTACCCCCCGAGTTCAGCCTTTACCGGCGCGCCTCAAACCAAGCGCAAACGCAGGTGCCGACCACGCGCAAGACGAGTCCATGCGTCGAAAAGATCATCTGTCAAGACGTAAAAAAAAAAAAAAATTGAAGCAAGCTGGTCGCCAGTGGGCGCACTTGAAGGTACCAGCGCGAGGGCTTCTTGATATGGTCGAAGATCACGCGATAAGCGAACAGGGGCCTCCGGCTCCAACCCCAAAGACGCAAAACCTGCCTTCCATTTCCTTCCATTGAAAAAGGTCTGGCTCAAAGCAAAGACTCGGCGTAAAAAATCCTCTGGCAGTGTCTCGCTCTCTCCCAGACCCATCTGAAATTGCTGTTTGAGATGGAACTTGAAAGCCGAAAAGGCCAGTGTGTCCAAAGGCTGAATCAGCCCAGTTAGGCCTGCTGGAATGACAGCCATCCAGATGTTGCTGTTGTTCGCGGCGCGCACCGTGTCGGGGTGAATGTGGGAAGCATGACAATCCAGAAGCAAGATTGCTTGGAAGGCCGGGAAAGCAGCCATTACATGTGACAGTTCCTCGAGTACACGTTTCATCACCCGAACCGTTGACCACGCGCTTGCCTCACGCCAAATATGTAGGTTGTCCGGCTTCTGAGCAGAAACAGTCCGCACTGCTCGAGCGCTGAGAACAGAACGCTTGGCCACAAGGAAACGGGGCAGCAAGGGCTGCAAAGCTTCATTCGTGCAGATGATGGGCGTATAGTAAAGCCTCCCCTGCGACGCTTCGCGCCCGTCACTCTGGTCTTGCGAAGAACATTGCCAGCAAGTGAGCCAGGGCTCCAGGGGATGTAGCTTTCATCCAAGTTCAGCAAGATTGGAATCTTGCCAACGCCGATACAGCAGTGGCGTAGCCAGAACACCCACTGCCACAGAGTTTTTACCTGAACACAAAGAGTCAGAGGACCCAGAGCAACCTAAAGGATGCACATGTTTGAGGCCACTATGGTGTCAGAATTTTAGGCCACAATTTGGCTTCATTACTCACGCGCCCATATACTACCGGGGACTTTCTGAAGCCGATTCGGGCTTCACTGTTTTCTTCGCCAGACCTTCGCCGCAAGCTCTGCGCAAGGTGCAGGAGGCTTCACCGAAAGCACTCGAAAAGCAACATTCCAGCGTTCGCGGAAGTCTGCAGACCACTTGCGCAAGTACCGCCCAGCGCTGTGATTCAGCGAATTGTTGTGGACCGCCCTCGCCAGCGCACCGTCCCACCGGGAGTCATGAAAAGCTTCGCAAAACATCAGATACTTGCTGGCCATGGCAGCCGAGCTAGGGGCGGCGCCGAGCATGTTTTGAGACTCCAACCATTCAACTGTTCGCAGTTCCGCCAAAAACGACACTGCTGCGTGTCGGACACGCGCGTGTCTTCCAGGTTCCCCACACTCCAAAGCAATCAGTTCGTCGATGGAAGTTTCTAAGTACAGGCTTTCTGTCAACTCACGCACCTCTGCTGCACTGTGGCTCGGTTGCTGCCGGACCGCATTTCTTGAAGCCACATACAATGCCACAGCATTGAGATTGTACCGCGACAACAAATATATCGCCAACACGATGCTCGCTTCCCGCACGGTCAAATGCAGCGTCGCCGCACGTGCTTTGGATCGACTCAAAGCTTTTCTCACCGACGCCATGCATTTCTGTACTCTGCGTAATGCCTGGCTCAGAACCAATTACCAAACCTACTGTGTGAGATACTCACAAAAACAGCAAAAACCTTGGCATGCCCAACCAGTCCTGCACAGCTGGTGCCTCGCCGCCACGGTTGCCGCCGCCATCAGCCCTGCCTTCGGCACGGCCGCCCAACTCTTCCATGTCTTCGGCCGCCTCTCCCATGAGGCAGGGTCCACGAGAACTGGCCAGCGAGCTACAGACAGCAGAGGAAAAAACTGCAGAAGCCAAAATAGCATTGCAGCACGGCCCCGTCATTCCAACACGAACAGGTGCATATGATGGATGACTTGTCCCGCAGAGCACTGCACAACTCGCAGGGTACCGAAACTGGTCCTGGACTTTTCCTCTGCATCCGAAGCAGAAAGTAGCCTCACCCAATGTTACAAAATCATACAGATTGGCCCCCCCGCCCCCCAAATTCAATGTTCGTTTCTTCCAGCCAGCCAGACCGGCAGTGCCCCCTCACAGCAGCAGCAGACTGTCCACTGCAACATTGAAATTAAGGGGGTGCGGGGAAATCTGGATTCAAGCGTGAATACGAGAGTATAGCTGGATTTAATGACTTGGTTGGAAACGGAGGCCGAAGCAAAGACACATGGAGCGGGAAAGGCTGCAAGTACGGACGGCAGCTGCTTCCAGAGACAAGAAACTAGCCGCAGCACATTTTGACGCTGGTCTTGCACAGCACGGCCGTCGTCACGGGAGCTGGCAACACCTGCTCACAAGTGCGTTGAAGAGCTTCCACTGCCTGCAGGCATTCCTACACTCCTAGACCTTCTTGTTCAGAGCGCTGCCTGGGCAGCTGTTCCACCCTCCACTTGTGTCAAAGCCCGCCTCTTCTGCACAGCGCGGCCGTCAGCACGGGAACTGGCCAAACCTCTGGTCAACTGGGTCGTGACAGGGAGTGCAGCGTGCCTGTAGACCTTCACGCATCGTGACCTCCAAAAACTTCCACTCTCCAAGCTCTGCCTTGTAGCCTCAGCCATCCCACCTTCCACCTGCCTGGCCGGCGTTCCAAGCCCAACAGTCAGCACAAGCTGAGGTCAGAAGGACATAGCAGCACTGAAGACACTTCAGAACGGTTGCAAAAGCTCGGAGAAGTCGCATGCTGTGCACAGTGCATACGCATGGAAAGGGAAATTTCACGCAGCGCGGCTCTCGTCCTCCAAGTTTGTGATGTAAGCATGTGTTGTGCCACCTTCCAGCACCCTGACTCTTGCACGTCTCTGCACAACACCAAGATCTGCTCGCGCAGCTCCTCCTCTGTGCCTCTGCTTGTCGGAAGAGTTTCCTACGGTGCGGCGCGTATGTAACCTCAAAAACTGTCAGCTCTAAGGTTTTTGTCGAAGTTTCTCTGGGGTTGGAGATCCTAAACCCCGCAGAAAGTTCGAAAAAAATGGTGTATGACACGGTCTTACATTTTGAAAGAGACATTGCGTCGCTACAATCTGTCCTACGGTTTTTGCACCTCTAGAACAGGCTCGCCGCAATCTTTGCCTCAAAACTTAACACCATTTTGGTCGAACTTTCGGCGGGCTTGAGCATCTCCAGCTAGTCAATGCTCCCTGTGGTCTTCAAACATTTTTCCGCGCCTTCGGTTGGCTTTCAGCCCATCACGTAGCCATCACTTCGCGCTTATCCTCCGGCTCTGCGGAAGGCCCAGACGTCCAGGTTTCTGCTAGACTTGCGGAGTTTCGTGACGCTGCGAATGAAAGGAGCAGGTAATGGTTCGCACGTTTGTAACCCTGCCAGTCAACATCCACAGCATCGGTGGCGTTAACCTGACGCGGTTTTTCCTGCATTTGCAGATGACATAGACCGGCTTTCTGGGACCCAAAGCAAAGGCAGACCAAAGCGCTCTCCCGAAATCCGCCGCCTGGCACAGCGATTAAGTTTGAAAGGCTCGTGGTGCAGCTGGCGCACAGGTTTGCCGTGGCCGACCGCACGACTCTTTCGTTCCTCGACACCAGGTGATCAGACAGCGCTTTAGCTGCTGACTGCCGACAGGAGGCGGCGCTGCTCGAAAGGCAGCAACTCCCCCCAAGATTGCAAGCGCCTCCAATCTTCTACACTAAGCTCCGTCACATGCACGGCACCCAAAGCGTGGAGCTCGGCATCCATGTGCTGCATCTTCTCCGCGGGCAGGCGGGCTTGCACACATAGAGCTGCAAGTCCAGCCACACCCGCAGCTTCTGATGCTGGTTCCACGGCTCTGGGCGGCCCCACGACACGGACCACCTGCTCTGCATCGTGCTGCGCTGCCGCGTCGCGGATCCACGCGCACATGCACTGCTTGCAGGGCTGCGTGTCCTGGAGATGATGGACGGTGGCGGTGGCCGTGAAAACATGGACACGGCTCTGCATGTGGCGCACATCTTCCTGGGAGACGCTACCATATGGCACCCAGAGGCCCTCGGACTTGGCGGTCATAATGCATCCACGATGCCACTCAAAGTCCACATTGCCATCGTTGAAGGCCTGCGAGACTTGCACCTCGAGGGGCTGGCCCTGAAACAAGCTCAAAAACGCAGTGACTGGTAGAGTCTCCTGGGCGTATTCCACAGGTCTGTAGTCATCCCAGAACAAGAACCGCTTCTCTTTCAACAGATTGCGAAGCGCGAACTTGGAGTTCAATGCAGGCTTGTGGAAAACGTGCTTGAACCCGAAAAGATCATCAAAGGGAAGCAAGATGGTTGTCTTCCCAGAATTCGTGGGACCTGCAAGAAGCGGCACCCGTGTTGTCTTCGAAGGGCCTGAGCGAATGATCGCCCGCAGGGCCGTTGCCAGCTCCTGCTGCGACACACACGCTGCATTGGCCGAGAAGAACGCTTGCACGGCTGCGGCATAGGTGCAGCTCCCATCATGTGGGCAGGCTTCCTGCGCTGTACGGCAGACCAGATCCCAGTCCAGATCTTTTTCGGCCGCTGCCGCGGAGCGTGCCATTCCCCAGTCGGCGGCTTCTTGCAGAAAGTCCGCAAGCTTTCTCTGATGCGCGTGAACGAAGACCTGCATCTCGGCCGTGCCATGGTCTTGGGCATATGCCAGCACGGCAGCCTTGGTCGTCAAGTTCTTCGCCAGCATGATGGAAGTCAAATCCAATTTGTTGAACTTCGGCCTTTTGGAGCTCTGTTGGCTTCCGCTGGCCGTTTTTGCGGACTCCTGTAAGTCCAAGGTTGAGCTAGGTCTCATTACGGAACATTATGCCAGAAACCTGCACGCAAAAACGCAAGGACTCCGATGCACAAGAACACTTTTCAGCCCAAACCAAAGGTCCTCGTGTCTACGCTTCCAGACTTCAGCCATCCATGGTCTCTGCGACTCGGCAAACAAGTCCAGCGCACCCCAACCGCCATCTTCTGACCAGGATACGGGGTTGGCATCCACCTCGGGCTTCTTGGCCGTGGGGATGTGTCCATATCGGACCGCGCTCCAGAAGCCAGTGTGCGAAGCGGAAAAGTGCGCAGCGAGGTGGTCTCGCTCACGCAGGGTGCGCTTTGCGGCAACGAAGCTACGCGATTGTCGCAGCAAGACCGCGACGTGGAAATGATGCATGCCGTCCGCATGCTCTTCTCGAAAAACGACGAGGTTGCGAACCAGCTGTGTAGCACCTGGAGGGCGGCCACGACCTGCAGCTACAGGCTCGTCAAAAGCCTTCCAAACGCAGCAAGCAAGGTCTTCGCGCGACATCGCTTCCAAATCTCGCAGATCGCGAAGCTCTGCCGTGCCCGGCAAGAGACGCGCAAATGTGAGAAAGTGGACTTTATCCTCGGAGCCGAGTATGTCCAGCATGGCTTCCATGCGCTGCTCGGGGCTTTGTTGCGCACGCGCCACACGGTTGTCCACGGCTTCGCGAATCCAGAGATTCACTTGGTCAGCGGCGGCTTCTAAGCCTTTGCGCCCGAAACCAAGATGGCGTGCGATTTGGCAGCGAAAGTCATAAACGCTCACCTGCTGCAGATCCACGCTGGGCAAAAGTTCGGCGATGGCACCTCGCACGCGCACCTCGGTTGTCTCGTCTAGCTCGACGGGTCCGTCTGGGTGTTGTTGAGGTTGCAGGACAGCTCGCTCACCGGGTTCTGCACTGCCATCTGCGTCTAGGTGTTGCTCCGGGCCATTTGCCAAGGGCTGGGGCTCACCGGATGCTTCGCTGCCATCAGCCATCGCCAAATTGCGCGCACATGGTTCGGACAGCGTCACGAAACGCGGGTTTCGTTTGCATACCCTGGCTTCTGAAACAAGAAATGCTTCCACAAGCGCTCGCTTGCAGTGAACTCATGAGGTGCGCAGATCTTGCTTGCGACAGGTTGTGACTGATGCAGGCGTGGCTGCTGCCTCGGCATGCCTGCTGGGCATTGAGCACCTCGCGGCGCGGTTTTAGCCAGCTGGCCTGGGTGGCTTTGCAGGTGAAGGCGTGATAGTCGCCCTGCCCTGCCCTGCCCTGCCCTGCCCGGCCCGGCGGGGCCCGGCCCTGCCCCGCCCCGCCCCACCCCGCCCTCCCCCGCCCCGCCCCGCCCCGCCCCGCCCCGTCCCGCCCCGCGCCCCGCCCCGTCCCGCGCCGCCCCGCCCCGCCCCGCCCCGCCCTGCCCTGCCCTGCCCTGCCTAGTGCCTGAATAGTGCCCGAATAGTGCCCGAAATAGTGCCCGAAATAGTGCCCAAATGAACCCTTCATAGTGCCCAAATGATTTTTCTTGCGAAAAAAGACAGATTTTGTTTTCCTTTACAAGAGAAATTCATTTGGGCACTATGAGGGGTTCATTTGGGCACTATTTCGGGCACTATTTCGGGCACTATTCGGGCACTATTCGGGCACTATTCAGGCACTAGGCAGGGGCGGTGGAGGGAGGAGGCACGGCAGCTCGGACCCCCCCCTCCTCCCCCTAGCCTCCTCCTCTCCCCTCCGCTTGGCCCTTCCTCTCTTCTCGCCGCGCCCTTTCCCGAGACAGGTGATAAGGTGCTGAAC